TTTAGAGCCAACTAGTTTGCTAATTAACAAATTGAAAGAAAATGATGAAAGGCAATCTTAATTCATTCACACAAGTTTTCCTTGTCTACGACGATTGACCATTAATTTTGGTCGCGGCTATCGACAGAATGGTTAAATTGACATAAAAAAAAAAAAAACATAACTTTGATGATTAAAATGATATGAATAGGAATAGAGTAACCAATATGAAACCAATTTATAAATTGGGTAACCTCCAATAATTTTTTTCCAGAAAAAAGGATTACAAGTCAAAGTAATAAAAAAACATAAAAACTTACGAGTCAAAGAAAACAGAAAAAACTCAAGATTACAAATCAAAGTAAATTCCATCTCTGTTTAATCCTTCCTACTCTGTTACGAAGACTAATCAAAATACTATTATCAGCGGAGATAGATATTTGACCTTTTCAGAAATGCTGTGTATATATATGGAGATAGATAGACAGACAGATATACAAGATCTTTAAGGTGTCTCGAGCTTGAATCGTGAAGCGTCGTCGTGATGGATAAACCTTTGATAGCTTTCTTGGTGGTGTTTTCTGTGGTTGCTGCAATCATAGTAATGACTTGCTTATTACGTGTCTTGGGTGTAATTACTCCATCATCAGGTACACATGGACACGGAGGAGAGGGGATGACCATATTGGGCGGAGCTAGTGGTGCTGCTGATGCAGTAGCTATTGACATCGATACAGGTGGAGACATAGGGGGAGGAGGTGGTGGTGGTTGTGGTGGCGGCGGAGGAGGAGGAGGAGATGGGGGAGGTTTTGGTGGCGGCGGAGGCGGAGGCGGAGGCGACGGAGGTGGAGGTGGAGGCGGAGGAGGAGGTGGGGGAGGTTGTTAATATTTTTCAATTTAGTTATTTTTTTATTAAAAATAATATTTAGGGTTGTAATTTATTGATTTTGTAATATTTTATTAGTTATTTTCTGCTCCAATTAGATTAATTGAAACTTTAAACCTTATATGAAAGGAGTGTAATAGTTAAACTTCAATATTGAATATAAACATATTTCTTTATCCTAATTTATACATCTTTCTATTCTCTCTGGTCTGATTTCTCTCCCTCTTCTTCTCTTTCTTTCTTTTCCTCGAGCTTTTCTCTTTTTCTACAAGTCTCGTTCGTGTTCAATGGTGTCCCACATCACTTACATTTTTGGGCAATTTGATTTTTATATAAATGGATAACAATGGAGATTAACAACCACTCACATGCATACGGACCCCATTTGATTAAAAAAATTCAAAAAGAAAAAGTGGACCCCCCATTATAAGTGTTCACTCATCCACATTGTCATATATTTCGGTACATGGAGCATGGTTGTATATTTTTCACCTGTTAGCCTTGTGGGAAGCCCACAAAGTGCGTGCATGTCATTTTAAATCGATTTGCCTTTTTTTTTTTTCAGCCGTAAAATGTATTGGAAATGTAGCAATCCTTTGGAGGTTTCATTGAAATTTTGGTTCTGCAATTAATGAAGGCGGTGGAATTTCATTATAAATAGAGGAAAAAGCTAGACGTACAGACTCGCCATCACAGGCACTTTTGAATTTGGTAAGAATAATGTTTGTTGTACATAATTTATGTACATAAGGAGGTACATAATGTGATGTGGCAATTATTCGGTAGTTGATATGAAAATGTGATATTTGAATTAAATGTTGGATATATGCCACATATAATTATGTAAACCATTATGTAAAAGATTATGTACCCGTAGCAAAGTCCATTTGGTAATGTGGCCATCAAAAAGGGAAATTACCATAAACTAGGTGTTTAGTTTCATGTTTTAAAAAATCAAGTTCTCACTTTATTTTTTCACTTTTCAGG